TGGGATTATAGCTGTGAGCCACCACGCCTGGCCTTCAAAAATAATTTTAAAAAGATTGTGATAAAATACATGTAACATAAAATTTACCATCTTAAGCATTTTTAAATGTATAGTTCAGTAGTGTTAAGTATATTCACAGTGTTGTGCAACCAACCTCCAGAACATTTTCATCTTGCAAAACTGAAACTATACCCACTGAACAACTCCCTATTTTTCCCACTCTCCAGCCCCTGCAACCATCATTCTACTTTCTGTCTCTGAGTATGACTACCTAGGTATCTCATATAACTGGCATCATCCAGTATTTATCTTTCAAAGAGTGAATTTTGAACAGACTTCTGCTGACTTCTAGACCAAATGCCCTTTTCCAATCTCTCTACATGTTCATTTTCATTAGTGCTCTGAGCAGTTTTTCTTTTTGAGACAGTCTCTCGCTCTGTTGCCCAGGTTAGAGTGCAGTGGCATGATCTTGGCTCACTGCAACCTCTGCCTCCCAGGTACAAGTGATACATGCACCTTAGCTCCCGAGTGGCTGGGACTACAGGTGGACGCCACCACTCCCAGCTAATTTTTTTTTTTTTTGAGACGGAGTCTGGCTCTGTCGCCCAGGCTGGAGTGCAATGATGCGATCTTGGCTCACTGCAAGCTCCACCTCCTGGGTTCACACCATTCTCCTGCCTCAGCTTCCCGAGTAGCTGGGACTACAGGGCCCACCACCAAGCCCAGCTAATTTTTTTTTTTTTCGTATTTTTAGTAGAGACGGATTTTCACCGCGTTAGCCAGGATGGTCTCGCTCTCCTGATTTCGTGATCTTCCCGCCTTGGCCTCTCCAAGTGTTGGGATTACAGGCGTGAGCCACCGCGCCTGGCCTAATTTTTGTATTTTTAGCAGAGACAGGGTTACGCCATGATGCCCAGGTTGGTCTCAAACTCCTGGGCTCAAATAATCCACCCATCCCAGCCTCCCAAAGTGTTGGGATTACAAGTATGAACACTGCAGCTGGCCTTCTAAGCAGTTTTTACTAGGATCTTTCATCTTTTTTTTTTTTTGAGACAGACTCTTGCTCTGTCACCCAGGCTGGAGTAGAGTGACACAATCTCGGCTCACTGCAACCTCTGCTTCCTGGGTTCTAGCAATTCTCCTGCCTCAGCCTCTGGAGTAGCTGGGATTACAGGCATGTGCCACCACGCCAGGCTAATTTTTGTATTTTTAGTAGAGATGAGGTTTTGCCATGTTGGCCAGGCTGGTCTCTAACTCCTGGCCTCAAGTGATCTGCCCGCCTTGGCCTCCCAAAGTGCTGGGATGACAGACGTGAGCCACTGCTCCACGCCTTGGACCTTTCATCCTTTAAGACAAGGTGGCCCATTTTTAGGCACAGAGAGAAGACAGGAGAGACATATCTTTTATCTCTTGAGAAAGGGCAATATTCAACATAGCAGATTAATTCTTTTTATGGCTAGTAACTAACTTTTTATTATTTTGTTTTTTTTTTGAGATGGGAGTCTTGCTCTGTCACCAGGCTGGAGTGCAATGGCGCGATCTCGGCTCACTGCAACCTCCACCTCCCAGGTTAAAGCGATTCTCCTGCCTCAGCTTCCCGACTGGCTAGCATTACAGGCGCACACCATCAAGCCCGGCTAATTTTTGTGTTTTTGTCGAGATGGGGTTTCACCATGTTGGTCAAGCTGGTCTTGAACTCCTGACCTCAGATAATCCACCTGCCTTGGCCGCCCAGTGTTGGGATTACAGGCGTAAGCCACTGCATCTGGCCTAAGTTTTTATTCCAGATGGACTTTCCTTTCTCACCAAGAACTTTGATTTTAACATTTGCATGAAAATATGAGACTATGTTTAGTATGTATTAAAAACATTCCCAAACAAAAGTCATGAATCCTCTCCTGTGACACAAATGCTCAACAGCTGACTCTATAGTGATAGCCTTTGTTTCAGACAGGGTTACTAATGTTTTAAGTGGTAGTAAAAACAGATTTTTTTTTTTTCTGAGATAGAGTCTCGCTCTTGTCACCCTGGCTGGAGTGCAATGGCACGATATCGGCTCATTGCAACTTCTGCCTTCTGGGTTCAAGCAATTCTCCTGCCCCAGTCTCCCGAGTAGCTGGTATTATAGGCGCCGGCCACCAGGCCCAGCTACTTTTTGTATTTTCAGTAAAGATGAGGTTTCACCATGTTGGCCAGGCTAGTCTTGAACTCCTGACCTTGTGATCCACCCTCCTCAGCCTCCCAATGGGCTGGGCGCCCGGCCAAAAAAAGATGTTATTTAATTCTTACTTTTATTGGGCCAAGACACAAAGAGAACACTGAGACTCCATACAGAAGGAATCCCTGTGTGTGCTGAAAAACTATTCCCTTTGCTAGGCTACACCAATTTTGACATTTTTTTGGGCTAAAAAAAAGACAAGAAAAATGCACACAGAAGTAAAAACTTCTCTTACTAGCTTGTATAGTCCCATCTGCTTTCTTTTCTTCTTCTTTATTTTTTTTGAGACAGAGTTTCACTTTTGTTGCCCAGGCTGGAGTATAATGACGTGATCTTGGCTCACCACAACCTCCACCTCCCGGGTTCAAGTGATTCTCCTGCCTCAGCCTCCCGAGTAGCTGGGATTACAGGCATGCACCACCACACCCAGCTAATTTTGTATTTTTAGTAGAGATGAGGTTTCACCATGTTGGTCAGGCTGGTCTCGGATTCTGGACCTCAGATGATCCTCCCGCCTCAACCTCCCAAAGTGCTGGGATTATAAGCGTGAGCCACCGCACCCGGCCACATCTGCTTCCTAATGTAAGAGACTGATCTAATAGTCTAGAACTTGACAACTCTTATGGTATCATGGATTTTGTTCATATTGCTTTATGAAGGTAATTGCATTGTGGGAACAGTCCAACAATACTATACCAGCTCCCTTTGACACCTTCCCCTCCAAACTCACACAGTGGCCAGCTCACTCAGGGCCTCTTGATAGCGTAGGTACTCATTCTGGCCAAAGACCTTACGAAAGAGAAAGGAAGAGTGAGGATCTCTCAGCCTGAGGGATCTCTTTAGTGCCTTGAAGAAAAAACTGGCTTACCCCTGTCCCATAGCGGGCTGTCTCATAGCCATCCAATAGGGTATCGATGAGGGCTTTGCGTACACCCTTGAAAGGTGTACTAGTGTTTCGCAGATCTAGCAGGTAGGAGCGGAAATTCTTGCCCATTAAGGAACGGGGATGCCGGCCTTCAGAATGAAATGGGATTTCTGTGGAGAAAACAGCACAATGATATACTTTCTTTCATTCTTTAGTGGTTTTTTTTTTTTTTTTTGAGATGGAGTCTTGCTCTGTCACCAAGGCTGGAATGCAGTGGCGGTGATCTTGGCTCATTGCAACCTCCACCTCCTAGGTTTGAGCAAGTCTCTACTCTCAGCCTCCTGATGAGCTGGGATTGGAGATGTGCACCACCATGCCAGGCTTATTTTTGTATTTTTAGTAGAGACAAAAATAGAAAAGAGTTTCACCTTGTTGGTTAGGTTGGTCTTGAACTCCTGGCCTCATGTGATCTGTCTGCCTCATCCTCCCAAAGTGCTGGGATTACAGGCATGAGCCACCGCACCTGCCCCATTCTTTAGTCTTTCTAGTTAATTCCCCAAACTTAGAAATAGGTCTAATGAGGCTGGGCGCAGTGGCTTACGCTTGTAGTTCCAGCACTTTGGGAAGCCAGGGCAGGCAGATCACCTGAGGTCAGGAGTTTGACAGCAGCCTGGCCAACGTGGTGAAACCCTGTCTCTACTGAAAATACAAAAATTAACCGGGCATGGTGGTAGGTACCTGTAATCCCAGCTACTGGGGAGGCTGAGGCAGGAGAACCACGTGAACCTAGGAGGTGGAGGTTGTGGTGAGCCAAGATCGTGCTACTGCACTCCAGCCTGGGCAACAGATCAAGACTCTGTCTACAAAAATAAAAAGAAATAGGTCTAATGAAATGAGCGAGTTGAGTTAGAGGGAGATTCTGATTAATGAGACCAAAGGTACAAAGCTATGCCTGAGTGGTCATTTGATGGTAACACCACAGCTGTAACCTACATCAATGACACGTGATAGTGTCATCACATATTTTGCCATCCTGCTTACCCATCCATCCTAGGTTTAAGATATAAACTGTTTTCATAGAGATACAGCATATATGACAAGTGTTGACAGAATGGAAGAAATTCAAGAACAATCTATCTTGGGCTTAGT